TTGTTCATTGTTGATAGTAAATTAATTAAAGAGAATATATTAAAAAGTAACATTGTAATGTAAAAACTACACACACCAAACAAATATCACATTGTTAGGTTTTGGGAAATCTTCTTATAAATCACATTTACTGCCTTGGTGAAAAAAATTATTTCTCTTGAGCATATGAGAATATATATTAAGACATCTATGTGACTATGTGCATTACTCTAGGTATTGCAATGTAAAATTGGCCACCATTAAAACTTATGTCTCATTCTCTCAAGGTATAAATCAAATTATATGAAGGATTTATTTCATAATGCAAACATATTGGTTAGTAAAAACTCCGAATAAATAAATTTACAAATAACCCAATATACTACGTATTTATTTTACGTATCCCCAATGCATGCACATTTAGTAGAAAGTACCAATTTCATAATATTATAGAATAAAAAATAAAAATAAAAAATGTATTTTTATATTTAATTTGAGAATCTCGCAATGTACGTATATTACATAGTATATATTTGATCAATACTATTTCAATTCCTTAACTCGATAATCTATATATAAAATGAATATGAAGAATGCAAAAATATGAAATTAGTCCAATTTATTTAATTATTTACTTATCCGTATCCTAATACATGCACATTTAGTATTTAGTATAAAATACTATTATTGTTATTTTATGGAGAATATAAAAACATAAATAAATATGGTTTATATCTATTTAGGAGAATCACACAATGTGTAGTCATAATTTACCGAGAGAATTGCAATTTTAGTCCTTTAACTTTCGTTTGTACCCGTTATTAGTCCTTAACTTTATTCGGTTGCAGATTTTGCCCTGTAATTAATAATTCATTGCAATTTAAAGACTTTTCACCGGAATTAGAAGTACACTTTCTGACCATAAAGTCACCGGAAAAGATGTCGTTGACGTTGAATTATTTGCCAGAAAATATACTTTTTGGTGGAAAAGTCCTTAAATTGCAAAGATTTATTGCTATAGAACTAAATCTAGAACCAAGTAAATTAAAGTTACAGGACTAATAACGGACACAACCGAAAGTTATGGGACTAAAATTGCAATTGTTCCCAATTTACTTATTATATCATATTTTATCAGTATTATTTCAATTCTTTAATTTGAAAATCATAGCTTGTATTTTTAAATGCTTCTCCTATGTTAAGCATGATTTGAAAGGTAATTTTATAAGTAAATGTAAAATGTCAGGTTTGAAAATAAATGAGAAAATATATCAATTAGTTTTTAATCATTAACTCTTATGTTTGAATGCAGTAACATTTTTATTGCATGTTTTCAACATAAAGTATTGTTTTATTGGGTATCTTATAAAGAAATTCAATCATTATACTCTTATTATTAAATAAATATTACGGAGTATCTGTTTTTTTTAAATTCAATTTATTCTTTTATGTGTTTTTTAATTAAAATAACTATTATCTTTAAAAGAAATTTAAAATTGTAGAATAAGAAAATGCGTTTTGAAAAAAAGAGAGTATATTTTGCATATGAATAAATATGTAAGAATATGCAAAAGAGTATAATCATTCGATGTGATTTTCTCTCTAAATGGAATGATTATACTCTTTGTAGTTTTATTGAAAAGTTGATGCTCTACAATATACTCCCTCTGTCCCACATTGAATTACAAAATTTGACTTTTTGGATCAAATCAACTCATTTTATTCACTTAATTAAGATATCAATTTTTAATTAAATTTTAATTTAGAATTTGCAACTTTATAAAGATTTTGATATAGTTTCTGAATATATAAATTTTAATTATTAAAATTGAATTAATTATCAATAGAGAGGATTTAACTTTAAGATTGGTTGACAAAAAAATGTTGATTTTGCAAAACAATTTGGGACGGAGGTAGTATGTAAATACTATGAAGTTAGAGGAACTTAGAGCTAAATTACAATCAATGACTATTCTTGGTAGGCTCGGTCTTATGCCCTCCTACTATGTATCTTTCCTTATTACTCCCTTTGTCCCCCTAACTTTGCCCCAATTTACCTTTTTCGTCCATTCCATTAAGTTTGTCACATATCATATTTGGCAATATTTGGGTGGTTACAATTCATTCTTACTTTATTCACACTTTACCATTTCAATATCAACCACATAATTCTATTTTTTCTTAAAAACTCCGCCACACCCCTTTGTCCCAAACTTAGAGGGACGGATGTAGTAATAAATATGTAGGGTGTTCCCCGGCCCTTACCCCCATCCTCGGATGGTTTGCACTGGGATAAAAAAAAGGACTCAATAGCAATTAATTGAGAACTCAATTTCAATTAGAAGTTTGTGCTTAATTATTAAGTGAATAGATTAAACCTGCCATTTAAAAAGATGAGAATGTGCTTTTTATTGTTTAACCACATAAACCGAAATCATGTTTCCACACTGTTCAACCATTTTTGAGATGGTTAGGTGAGCTAAGCATGCATAATTTGCGATCGAAATCACATAAGCTTTGACCACATTATAAACACAAGGGGACGAACTACCTTTAATGACATCCGTTACATTACATGAGCTTATTTAATGAAATGAATCAGCATAGTAAAATACGGGACGTTGATACGATCCCTATCATAGTATATGACTATATGAGTATGAGGATTAAAATTAACTCAAATTAACTCCTAGAGGAGGCCACAAATTTGAATCCCGATTCGAATCTCATCTCAATTCAAGGATGTTAGTCTTAATAGAACAGATACTATACTACTCCGTATAATATGTTAGAAAGATTTGCCAAAAAAGTTTATCTTAAGCCCATGACTTAAGCACTGTAGTGAGATTATATACGGATAGTTTATATATATATATATATATATATATATATATATATATATATATATATATATATATATGTGTGTGTGTGTGTGTGTGTGTGTGTGTGTTTTGGTTCAAATAAGAACATGATCTTATGAGAAAAATGAGAATGAATCTGGACCGTTAGATTTGCTTTAAGTGAAATTCAATGTGCATTAGATGAAGTTGTAATGTGTATTATGTGAAATTGAAATGTGCAGCACAAATGGTACAATGTAATGGCATTATGTGAAGCTAAATTGTTCATTAGGTGAATTTGAAATATGCACTAGATGAAACGAAAATGTGCAAAACAAAAGGTACGATGCAATGTTATTTTTGTACCTTTTATTCTACACATTTCAGTTTCATCTAATGCACATGTTAGTTTAAATTTTAATTCTGCACATTTCAATATCATCTAATGCACATTTCGGTTTCACCAAATGTACAATTCAGTTCCACATAATTCAATCCAACAGTCCAGATTCGTTTTCATTTCTCTCCTAAGATTCGTTCTTACCGGAACCGCTCCCTATATATATGTGTGTGTGTGTGTGTGTGTGTGTGTGTGTGTGTTTGTGTGTGTGTGTGTGTGTGTGTTTGCAAAGCTCAAGACACGTACGATCTATTACTAACAAACATATTTTCTAATTTTGTTTTTTGTTTTTGATTCTCCAATTTTCTGTTTTCATTTTCAAGTTTTCCATCCTTAAATCTCAAAACATGTTCACTAAAATTTTTCACTCGATTCTGGGACCCGTCGGAAGACCAAAAGTACGATCCTAGTCTGGAATCGGACCTTGTACAACCCAAATAGGGTACCCCGTCCAAGGTTTAGGAAAGTTGGGACCGAAACTGGTCGATCCTAAGGACTAGTTTGACTAATTCTTTTACCCTTTTCCCTATTGATTGGTAACTCAACGGTTCTTTTGAAACTTTTCACTTTGACCGGGATGACCGGGATTGTCGGGTCATCGATCGGACCGCGCTTGGCCGGGACCGCCAGGTCGTCGACCGGATCGGATTGGAACCGTCGGGTCGTTGACCGGACCGCAACCTAGACCAGAGCGGGACCAGGTCAACCACTAGGCGTGTAGGCAAATTCATTCCAGCAGCACTGCAACGTATGTACATTTCAAATTTGGAAAACTAATAGAACTCATTTCTCCAATTCAATAAAGAAAATACAGACAAATCTCATTTTTTGCTGTTTTTCTTTCCCTAACTTTCCAGCAAATATTTTCGAGGAAAAATCGCATATATGGTCACTCAGTTATCCACGAAATTAAAATCTCAAACCTGTATTTATGAGATTGTAAATGTCACGCCTCAATTGTTCAAAATGTTGTAAATGTAGTCCTTTTGAGGGATGAAATATACAATGTGGGCGAGAGTACATTTCACCACTTAAAGGACCACTTTTACAACAATTTGGACAATTGAGAGGTGACTATTTACGATTTGGACAAGCAAGGCTGCTAGGTTGATAAGTGATAACCATATACTTTGTTAAAATTGACGACTTTTGAACATCTAGTAATATTTGTGATAATGGTTTCATCAATACAGCAAACTACTTTTCATTGGCATCTGAGTTTGGACATAAACAATGGTTACTCCATGTCTTCATATTAATCAATGGTTGATTCACTAGACTCTTCAAGCGTACTACCTCCATGGTCTCATTATCCCTAAATACCAACTAATTACGGCCTATCAAATTCAATTCAGTGTTGTCGGATATACATAATTAATTTAACTACACGTTCATGCAATAAGAATACACACTGGGAATCAATTCTTTTAAAGATGGGTTGTGCCAAGATCTTTCTCACGTCGTTGTGTGATTTTATCTTGTTTGATCTTCTGGTCTAAATTTGGTTCTTGGTTGTCTCATCATCATTTAAAAGGCTCCCACCTACGGTGGGGTAAGGGGGGTCGGATGTACGCAATCGTACCCCTTTCTCAAAGAACAGAGAGACTGTTTCCGGATGACCCATAGTGAAAATCGCGTCCAAAATTGCATGTACTGACTGCTGCTTCATAACAAAGAAGCGCAGACAGTTTAGTGAGCCATTTTGCTTGATTCCGTCATATTCTCAAGCCAAAAAATAGTGAATCTTTGGCTCCATTGCAAATGATGGAAAATTCTTGGTTGTTTGATCTTACAAAAACTATACATAAAGACAATCCATTGACAGAGTAACTGCAAAATAACTGAAACCACAGACTAAACACATGAAGGCCAGGATTTGAATTTCATAGACTGGGAGGGGTCAAAGGCAGTAGAGAGAAGTTAGTGTTTTTGGGGGGGGACAAATCTGCGCATCCAGACATGTTTACCGTTGATGGTGAACTTCGCCTTGTGCTCACCATTGAGAATGAGGTCAATGTGCGTAGGATCGAAGAAGACGACCCGTGCATACAGAGGCTGCTCCTCTTGCGGCTTCACTGCCTGCATGTGTATGCACTCTATGCAGTTCCCCAACACCTTAGTAAAGAACCTCCTAACTTCCCCCTCTGACACTGGGTATCCCTTTGAGAACGTGGCAAACATCGTCCTCTCCTCTTCAGGCACCAGCACGAGATCTTTCAACGCCTTGGCACAAACCTCAGCCACCGCATCCTGGACCCCTCGTGATGCCTTCACCCGATTCTCATGCAAAAACCGGAGCGAAAACTGTTTCCCGATAACACGCTGAGTCAGCCCAACCTCACAAGGTGATGTTGCATCTTTGATGCATTTGAGGCACGTGATGGCATCAACAGCAAGTTCGTTGATTACATTTATGGGTAAAGATAATATCTTTTGGACAACGTTCTTGAAGCCGGACCGTTCCAACCATATCCATAAGGCTAATATCTCTACGGATTCAAAGTGCTCGTGTCCAAGCTCGAAAACTAGGATGGAGTAGAGCTCTCTGTCAATTTTGTGGAAACTCCTGAACATCTCATCCGTAATTTCATACCATGAAGCCCCCATGAATCTCCTGGAAATTAAAATAGACGAAACAGAGACAAGAAAAGACAAAATCAATCAAAAATAGGAATGTTATTCCATAAAGTTGATTTTTTTATAAACAGAAGAAGCCTGAAGGGGACCTCTAGGGAAGATGCAAATGTGCAATGGCAACTTCACATAGCTTAGTGTGAGAGAGAGTGTCAAGAAAGCGATGTGGTCAATGTGGAGTTATTGTACTTTTATAAGAACTCCAAAGACTAACCATTTTTAGTAGGTAGTAATTAGTGATGTCACATACGTCCTAACCGCGTCACAAGTAGTAATTGCCAGCACTAGTAGCAGGATTATGGTTCAATTTCTGTTTGTGCCTAAAGGTGAAGTAGTAATACCTAAAAAGATTATCTTAATTGATCTTTTCTGCTCGCCTGCTGTCAGTATAGTGACATTGTTGATATTTTTCATAATAGTTTCTTCATAATTTAGCATAAGAAAGCAAAGAGAGGAACAGAGTTCACAGGATTAAGCCTGAAACCTACACTGCCCGATTTCGACAGGCGTGCGCACTGCGAGGCCAGAAAGGCCGAGTCAGCTCCAAAATGCCAACTGTTTATGTTAATATCCTTTTATTTAAGCACTTATCACGTGAAGTATCTCACGGCCAGTTAAATATGCTGTAATATCGATTAAGAAAGCCTGCATAGCAAAACATTCATCATTTCCTTGGGTTCAATACACACCTTGAAGAGTTGATGATCACAAGTCACCCTTACATTTCATTACTCCAAGAGCACATAATTGACAACTCAAGGCTCCCACAACGGATTGTTTGCCACTTGTGGACTTAGAACCAGGTTGGTGAGGGTTATTTGACTGAAATGACTGAATTGTTTGCCCCTTTGTGCTTTATACCAAGTCAATTAAATATGAAGTAATATCAATTAACAAAGCCTGCATAACAAGAATTTCTCATCCCCCTAAGTTCAATGCATACCTTGAAAGGTTGATGATCACAGGCTGCCCTTACACTTAGTACTCTGAGAGCATGCGGAATTGACCATTCAAAGCTCCGACAATGGATTGTTTGCGCCTTGTGGGCTTAAAGCCCGTTGATAAGTGTTATTTTGCAGAAATGACTGGATTGTTTGCCCATATGGACTTGATGCCCGTTTGGTGCATGCCATTTGACTCAAAGACTGGATCATTTGCCCCTTGTGGGCTTAAAGCCTGTTGGGTTCAGGTTATTTGGCTGAAATGATTGAAAGTGCTGGATTTTCTAAAGCATTTGGTAAAACACATTTGTACCAAATAAGAAGGCAAGAGCTACGTATTCTGATTATAATGCTCATAATAAGCCAAATCAAGCTACCAAACCAGCTCTCAATGGGGCCCCTTAGGTGGTAATGAGAATGTGAATTGTTTACTGTCACCATGCTAAATGCACCAAGAAATAATTAAAATAATCTTGGGCAGCGGGTACCCTCCAATGAGTAAGAGAATTCAAGGGAGAAGGGATAATTTTATTTCTAATGGACATATATACAACAGCAAAAAACTTAAACAAGGTTAAACAGCTTACAAGTAGATGATATACATTACACACTACAGGATGCCCATGAGGTATAGGTCTTTGAGCAGTGAATAACTGAATACATAGCTACAGCCTGCTCTTAAAGCACTAAACCAACCTCCATGAACAATCTAGGGTTCTGATTAGCTACATAGGGTGACAAAGAAAAATTGAAACTTTTCTTATTCTCTACTCCTTTGTGCCAATGACTTTGGGAGTTCCATCTGCAACACCTTGCAGGTCAAACAAGGAGAAAGAACGCCAACCACAGAACTTCTGCTTAGTAGGTGATGTGGAGGACTCGGTACTATACCTCCGTGTTTGGGGAGGAAGAGGAGGAAAGTGTTCTCCAGTTGCAGCAAGGGCCAAAGAACTTTTGGAATTGGTAGGTCTCTTGTATAGGCCACCACTGTTGTTTTGATTCCGATTCTTGTCAAAGAAAATGTTATGAGCAAGCAAGTTTTTGCGTTTTCTTGTGTATGCATTCTCTGGCTTGACAATGTCCTTGAGGGAGGAAGAAGAAGCTGCATGTGATAGACTTGTAAACGATTTAGATTTGCCTGCATAGAAATTTGAGATGCCTCTCCTGAAAGAAAGGAAACAGAGCATGAAAAAATGAAGCAAACAGCAATGAGATGTTTATCAAAATACAATGATTACATAGTTACCAAGCAAAAGCAAGCTTAGGTACACTTGAAAGGTACAAATGATTGCTTGTTAAAAAGATCACTTTTTTGAAATGAAGATGCCCAAGCAATGAAATACACTAAATGCAGAACTTAAGAGAATATTTATTCTTTAGCAGGAAAGAATGTAGTCCCAACATCATGTACAATATAGGAAAGGCATTTTCTTGACTCGAACTATCATACAGTCACCATCTAAAACATAACCAGAACTTTGAAAAGAAGCAAATGTTCAAGATTAAGTATGACTTTCATCATTATGAATTACGATGACATTTCCTAAAAGGCGAGATGAAATATGAAATTATCTTTATAACACTTCTTTAAAAACATAAATGATAATAAAAAAGAACAAATAGGGACAACATCTACGGGAATCATTTGCCAGATATGGAGCAGTAAAACTTTTGTATGTTTATTAACAGCCATCTCAAGTTCAAGACTAATCTATGTCTTCTTCAGTTCAGAACTTCAGATAGATGCACAAGGTTGATCAAGTCTTGCATGACACAAAACATTATCGATTGAAAAATGAATAATCACGAGGTAAACTAATGTTTCTTTATCCGCTTTAACCTCTCTATCTTGTCATAACTCATAACATTGGACAGTTTTACCTTAATTCAAGCGCAATCAGCATTCACGCAATTGACGGTCTTTTCATACAAGAAATCTAAACTCTAGCTTCAAGCTCACACAAAAAAAGCGAGACAACTTATCCAATATTTGCACTAAATCAGAACAACCTAATCTACTCACACGCAGACACAGAAAAACAAAATGATCTAAAGGCCGTTGAACATCAAATAAATCCACATACTTTATCGGCAAAGCCTCCTCTAGAGCCTCCAAGTTGTCCAAAACGCCGCCTTTGAACGAACTCTGCACTTCCTCGCCGTCTCCGTCCGCATCAGATGACCTCCCCGCCGGCGAATCATCGCTGTTCCGCCCGATAGACGAAGTACAAGACGAGCTCCGTCCGTCAGAGTCCTCCTCCTTCACCGTACAGCGCCGGTCTCCTACGGAGAACTCCAGCGACTCGTAGATCGGAATACATTTCATTCCGTGCACGAATCCCGGCCGCTCGATCCCAAGATCAACCGAGCTGTTTCCCTCCAGCGCAATCGACATAGCAAGAAGGTGCTGCCTAATCTAACCAGACATGGATACAAAGTACAAACTACAAGATAGAGAGAGGAGAGAGATACAGCCTTCCTTCTTATCTACTAATCTAACCGGACAAAGATTTATTGTACAAATAGGGCAAGTAGGATAATTAAATTAAACAAGATTATGGTGTCTTTGAATCATTTTTTAAAAGAGGTAAGGGTCAGTTTGGTCCTCGAAGTTGCATTAAATTTTTTTAGCATCTTATTCATTAAGTCTAGTTTACTCATAGTAAATTTCAGCCAAAAAATAAATCGGGAAGACATTCAAATGAAGTCTTGAAGATAACTGCGCTTTTAACTGCGCAGTTATCTTCAAGACTTCATTTGAATGTCTTCCCGATTTAAGTTTTATCTGAAATTTGGTATGAGTAAACTAGACTTAATGAATAAGATGCTCAAAAATTTTTATCAAAACATTCCACTGGGAACCGCCCCAAACGACGACTCCCGAACAGTAAGGACGTTATAATGACTTATTTGACACCTTTTATGTAACTTCAAGGACCAAACTGACCCTTACCTCTTTTTTAAAAGGAAGAGGTCAAATAGGGTCTCGAACTTACAAAAAATTGTCAAATAATGCCTTAAATAGGAGCTTCTATCCGGCCGACGTCATTAAGTATAGTTTACTCACACCAATTTTCAGCTAAAACTTCAATCGGAAAGTCATTCAAATAAATTCTTGAAGATAAGTGCGCAGTTAAAAGCGCAGTTATCTTCAAGAATTTATTTGAATGACTTTCCGATTGAAGTTTTAGCTGAAATTTGGTATGAGTAAACTAGACTTAATGAATAAGATGCTCACAAAATTTCATCGAAAAAATCCACCAGGAACCGTCCCAAATGGCGTCGACTGAACAGAACCTCCTATGTAAGGCATTATTTGACATTTTTTGTAAGTTCGAGGTCATATCTGACCCTTTTCTCTTTTTTAAAACGTAAATCCTTTTGTTTTATTTTTAAAAATACTAGGGGTGGGCATAAAACCCGAACTGAACCGGTACCGAATCGTCCCGTAATGGTACCGAACCGTATAACGGGTATTTAAATGGTTCTATAGATTTTTATCCCGAACCGAAACCGTACCGTTTGAAATGGGTACGGGACTGGTCCTAGATTTTGAGAACCGAAAAATACCGGACCGAACCGTTCGAAAATAATGCATTTCAATTTTTTATATTTTTTTTATACCAATAGATCTCTTTTATAGACCAACAATTTTATACCCCAAGTATGTATTCATGTGTCCCTAAGATATCTAAATGTGTGTGTGTGTATATATATTGTTATTTTTTCTTTTTAGATAATTTATGTTATATTTTGGTATGTATTGAAAGAATATTAAAATGTTAGAAATCATTAATGACTATTCATTTGTAGTAATGTAGTGTATATGACTTTTTGTTGTATCATGTTTGTGCAATTTTTACAACTTAATTAATATGGTTTAAATCTTAGCTTTCAAGGTTCAACTATAAATTAAATTAGAACTATGAAGTAATATTTAACGTAGAACGAAGAAGAAGAACGTTGAAGATTTCTATTATATTCAATAATTTGATGATATTTGTTTTATATTTTCACATGAACTTAGTAAATTAAAGATGATATTTATCTCGTGCGTCATCGTTTTGCTATACTTTTTCTTAGTTGTGTTGCACTATTTGTGTATTTGTGAATTTTAGTACTACGTATGCAATTTCTTGTATTTATTTCAACATTTCATGTGAGTTGTTTGGTGTAATGATATCTACTAATTGCAAGATTTATTCAAAAATTTTAGCATGTGTTTGGCATTGTACCGTACCGTTTTGTACCGTTCCAAAATGACATGCTACCGAGCGGTTCTATCCTTGGAACCGGACTGTAACGGACCGTTAAAAATCTCACAGATACATTACGAGTTTTATCAATTTACCGGATCGTTTCGGACCGCGCCCACCCCTAAAAAATACAACAATTATATCCTACATGCCGTGTGGCGGTGTACTGTACCCCGACATGTTGTTTCATAATCTAAACCGTTGGATTGACGTAAACGCATTAGTTTTAGAAACATCTACACCGTGCATATAGAAGCGGGAAATACAATTGGATGGATTTTAAGAATCGCTGGTTTGGATAGTGGGTAGCTGCTTGATGGCTGTGTTGCGACCAAATCGGGGTTAAGAAGCACATTTATAAATGAAGGGAGCAAAAAATAAGCAATTTATAATTGATTCTTGAATTAATTAAATAGATCTTTAAAATATTTAAAAAATCATTCTTTTATTTTTCATATGTCCCATTGTACATTTTGTTTACATATGACAAAGAATTTCATTTCTCACTTTTTTACATAATTTTAAGTCACACTTTTCTTAATTTTCATGTCAAGTCAAAATATGAGTTAATTATGTTATGGAGGAAGTGATTTCTTGGAGTCTTTTAAATGAAACTCTTATACCTGCATATCAATCTTTTAGATTTTAAATAGACATACTTATTAATTATGAGACTAAATCTATGCAGAAACAATAACATCCAATTCTTATTCCCATTAAAAAAGATAAGAAAGATAAGGTAAGATAAAATGGGTAAGATAAAGACAAATATAGCGTATAAGATAAAAATAACATGAGAACATAAAAAAGATAAATGATAAAAAGATAAAAGAACATAAGCAAGATAAAAGATAGAAACAAGTTTTTAGGCTAAGGGGTGATTCCTCAAAATGGATCTTAATTGAATTTAGAATTCCATCAAAATCAAGGTATCCTCAATTTAGATTTCCATGGATTTTACTTATTACTTATTTCAATGAACTTTGAAAGACTTGGATGAACTTAAGGGAAAAAATTGAATAACCCAATTCACCAACAATCTCATTAGGACCCCTTGGATTTCAAAACTCAATCTTTAAAAAAAATTGTGCATGTATCACTCCTCAGCAGGCAGTTCGATCAATGCATAGAGGTGTTCTTCCATCTTTCAACTACACTTCCCTTCTTCATCGATCAAGTATTCTCCAAGTATGGTTTTCTCCAGACTTTTATGACCTTTCATAGATATTTCATCTGTCTACGAAGTATCTAAGGCCCTGTTTGATTGGAGGGTTTCGGAGGGGGGGGGGGGGGAGGAAAGTGGGGGATGTGTGTGTTTGGTTGAAGGAAATAGGGGGGAAGGGGAGGAAAGTGGAAGGCTTTCAAAATCCTCCACTTCCTCCCATTCTAAACCCCCCAAATCGGGGTATTTCGAAAGAAACGTGTTGATAACCACAAACTATCCATCTCCTACGTGGATGAACAAAACGTTATAATATAAAAAGGTAAAAAACAAAAAGTTTTGAAAAATTAAAAAAAAATAAAAACTTAAAAATATAAAGATTAAAAAATTTAAAAAATAAAAAATTTTAAAAATAAAAAATTTAAAAATTTAAAAAATAAAAAATTTTAAAATTAAAAATTAAAAAATTTAAAAATTAAAAATAAAATATTTAAAAAATAAAATTAAAAATTAAAAAAATCCAAACTGAAAAATGAAAAATTATAAAATTAAAAAAGTAAAAAATCAAATAAAATAAAATTACGACTCATGACCATAGGAGTAATATTCACAATAGTTAGACATGTATCTATTTTTTTAAATAAGCTATCAAATAAAAGTAAATTGCGAAAATAGTTTCATTAAACCTTTCCTCCTATTTCCTCCAACCAAACACAAATTTTTATCAAAATCTTTCCTTCCCCTTCCCTTCCCTTCCCTCCTTGACACTCCCCTTCCCTCCCCTCCTTTGAACCAAACAAGGCCTAAGTGTTCAGTTTTTTCAATTCCAAACGCGGAAGTCTGTAATTTGATAAAACTTAGACTGTTGTTACCAAGACAAACAAAGACAATATGCAAATCAATGGAGAAACGGTATTGCACAATAAATGTGACCGGATGTTATCAATGACAATTACATAGTTTGAATCTATTCATTTTGTTATTTTAACAAAGTTCCTAATTATTTAAGGTTGTGCTTTGATTATGGATTAATTATCAATTGCGTAGTTTTTTTATTTCAATTTGAGGGTTTTCCTTAAATATGACTACATGGAACTATGGAAGCTAATTAATCGTTAACTTTTTCCGGTGAATTTTGAAAAAAAAAATGCAAAAAAAAATCATCAAAATATTTCGATGACTTTTTCCGTGACGGGTTGAGGTAGTTGAGAAGGTGTGAGGGGTTGGGGAAGAGATGTATATAAATTACAACAACAAAATTGAATCAATTAAATAAAACACTAGTCGTATTTTTGAGAGAAAAAAGTCATTTTTTTTGTATTTCACAAAGTTATAGGTAATATTTGTGCATTTTTTCCTTTTAATTTGAAAACAAAGACGGAATATTCTATCTTTGTAATATATGCTTATACATATATATATAACTAATTAAACTCATTATTTAAGCAATTTCAATTTACTTCTCATAGATAAGATGTAAATCCCTTTCATTAAAATTTCCTATTTCTAGGCCTTATTAATGTGCTTGAATATGGTTGGCTCAAATTATTTTCTAATCTCATAGACAAGTTAGAAATAATTTTCCAAAATTTAATTAATGAAAATGGCTAACAATTATTAATTACTATTTCCTCAATTTAAATAACTAGTCCAATTCATTAATTTTAACCCCTAATTTTCGGCTAACAAGTCAATCCATATTCCTTTGGTCAATTTCATGCCCAAAACAAATTTAGCTACTAAACATTATTTTTGCATTCAACAATATAGTAAATAAATTAAACATTAACAAGGAACTAAACATTTATAATAAGAAAATTTAAAAAAAAAATAAGATTATGTAAAAATAAACTTTCTGAAACTAAAATATGATCTTCTATAATTTTTCCTGAATTTTCTAACCTAAAATCCAATTTTAACAACTAATTGATAATTTTCCCCAATATTAACTAGACAATACAAAAAGCAACTAGAAATATTCTAAATTCGTTTTAAATTTTATATTGACTACTGGGGGTGATATTGCAGTGGAATAAACTCAGTGGAGGACCTAGGGAGGGGCCTAGGGGGGCAAGTGCTCCCGCTTTCGGCCAGTAATTTCACTACTATTATTTAGAGTAAAATCAGTGCACCCGCTTCTGGCTAAGAATTTCACTACTAGTGTGCCCCTACTCTGACAAATCTATGGATCTGCCACTGAATAAACTGAATTAGGACCGAAACTATTTTTTGCTATTTTTAAGTAATTAATTCAATTTATGCAATAATAACAAGGGAAAAAAACCTGAATAATACTAAAAGACCTGAGGTTTCCCAAAATATGACTCAAATTATATTTTAACATCCATATGACTAAAAAACGTGTGACATACATGGGCCGCATGATTAAATGGAAATAAAAAACCAAAAATGCCCTTCCCACTAACTACCACGAGCGAATTCAGGCGAGAAACCAGCAGCGTAATTTGGGACTTCCCAAAACGGATAATCCGTATTAACTGAAACATCGTGGATAATCCGTACTCCCAAAACTCCTTGGCAATACTCGACGGCGGAGATTGAAGGCAAAAAATGAGGAACAAGACTCCGACCCGGGGAAAGAGAGCAGTTGTGAAGCAGGAGAAACGAACACACGCTTCAACAAAGCAAGGGGCGACTGAAAATCATGTAATTACTGTCGACGGAGTGGTACATTTACCTGCTCTTGTCTGTATTTGAGATGAATTTTGAATCGTAAAAAAGAAGGATGATGTCTATGGTGTGTGATTATATGTTAAACAATCTTGAGAATATACAAGGGTTATGTGAGGTTTGTGATGTTTATGTGATATGGGCATGTAGCATGTGAATGTGATGTATGAGTAAGGGAAATATATTTGATAGAGATTTAGTAGGCAATATTCGAGAATTGTGGTGTGTCCAGGTCGAGCAAATTTGGAAATGTTTGGGGGCAATTGCATTAGGGCATTGTTGGGGTCGATTATTTGGGGGAAATTGATGCAGTGCATTGTAGGGCATTATTTGGGGGAAATTTATGCAGGGGATTAGGTGGCAATTGGAATAGGCCATTACTGTGCAAGTCGAAAATAGAACACACCAGTAAAAGGAATTTAAAAGGGCAGTAATAGGAGAACTGTGATTAAAGAAATATTAATATATGCAGTGTATAACAGAGGCAGTAATCCTGAAAAGGTAGGAATTGTTGAACATGGCAGTAATGTGGTACATGTAAGAGTATTGAAAGTGGATGAGGTAGTAGTGTTGAAAAGGGCAGTAAAAGGAATTTGGTATGAAAAGAGAAATATAAGCAGTGTGTAAGCAATAATTGAGTAATGGTCTACATTTGAGTGAAGTGTTGGAAAAGATAGTGAGCTTGGACATTAATGTATTAAAATAAGGCATTATTTTTTCCCCCATTTATGTACTATGAGATTTATTATGACACTGTTAATCTTTTATATTGCAGGAGTATGTGAAGAGTACTGAGTGTGAAAACTTTGTGCTCGAAAAATCTATGAAAATAAATTGTTATTGTAATCCAGTAAAGGCAGTTGAGAGTATAAGGAGCTATTTAACTGAGGATGAGCTCAAAGAATCTCAAAAATCAGTGTTCGGTTATTTACTTGAATTGGGAAATATACCTTGGATAAATGGGCAGTTGTTAATCCTACTCATCGCGAATCATGTTGAGCGATCGGATACAGGGAAGGACAAAACAAAGCTTGAATTTGTGATTGGTAACAAAGTTGCGTGCTTTACAAAAAGGGGCATGGCAATGATTACTGGGTTCCCGTTTGGTACAGAGAAGGCAAGTATATCCACTAAAGCTCCAGGGGATTTGTGGAGTAGATACTTCTCTGGAATGAAGAAAGTTCAACGACAAGTCATTAAAAGGGGTTTTGAATCAGGGAAATCAAGACAGAGTGGAGCACATGCAATGGATGCGGTAAAGCTTGGGTTATTGCATGTCCTAGGCAGTTATATTCTGGGAAATCAACCATCAACATACCTCCCATCTGAGTACGTTAATCTGGTAGATGATATCGAAAAGTTCAATAAATATCCATGGGGTGATGTTGTGTGGGGTGATCTACATGAAAATGTAAAGAAATGTGCAGGCATTCTTTACCAGGAGCCGTCAGCAAGATTTACATTTCCAGGGTATATGTTTGCTCTACAGATCTGGGCATATGAGACCTTCCCAGGCCTTGAAAAAGCAAATGTGTGTGTGAGAAGGGCGAGAGCAAATATGTGGCCTAGGACACTACAATGGGCAGCCCCTGCTAGGCCGTCACAACAAGTTGTTGAGGAGGTGATATTTAATAATGACCAGGTAGGAAAAGTAAATAATTTACTGTAAGTGTTGTATTTTTCATATTGGTTAATATACTAATGTTTTTATACTTATGTGTGCAGGTAGAATGGGCAAAAATGAAACCCACTGAAGAAGAGGTGAAGATGGAGTGGGTTATTAAATCATTGACAAAGAATGTTAATGAAGTTGAGGTGAGGGAGGGAAATGATATTGATGATTTTGAAGAACGGGGATCGAGTAGAGTGACTGACAAGGCAGTAAAGAGAGGCAGTAAGGTAGGAAAAAAGGGTGGCTGCGCATAAAGGGAAAGAAAAAAATAAAAAGATACCCGGAATTGAAGAGAAGGAAGATAAAGTGATGCACAGTTTAATGGCAGCAGTTGTATCACAAGGAAAAAGATTAAAAAAGTTAGAATCTAAGGTGGATAAGCTATGTGAGTTGCAAATGAAACAATCCAGCATGTTGAAGAAGGTTTTAGCTAGTAGAGCCATGATGTGGAAGCTTAAAAAGCTGAAGAAAGTGTCCAAGAAAGCAGCAATGAAAGATAAGGAAGACATGCCAAATTTTGACTTGGGTATGGATTTCAATGAACATGTCGTAGAAGACAGTGAGCAAGGTAATGAGCATGATGAAGTTGAGGACGTACGTTGCGAGCAAGCAGAGACGGCTGATGAGATGGTAGTGGATGATGTGCAAATGACACAAGACGACATGTTCAAGGAAATAGATGGATCAATGAACACCCAACAACTAGTTAAGGAGGTGGAATTGATTGAAAAGAATATGATGAATGATGAGACAGAGAAAGAAGAGCATAATGATATTCAGAGTTATGAAGATTTAGGAATGCTGGATACGCAGCTGCTGTGTGCGGAGGCTGATGCCATATTTGAGAAGTACATGGGCAATATGAACGCTCCAGCGGGAAGTGAAAAAGGAAGTAAAGAAACAAATGATGATGAGGTAAACAAGGAAAATATTTGATTATATAACAAAGAATTGGATACGTGAATTTTAATGTGTTTTTAACTAAATAGGAACTATATATTAGTGATATTATTGTTTACACGTGCATGGTACAGGGAAATAAAGTAGGTGTACTTGAAAGTGAAGTGATAAACAAGGACGGTGAACCTAAACAGGTATTATGTATAGCAAGATATGTTAAAACCATTGATGAAGTGTGTGCATTGATTTTATTATTGATTTGTGTTAATGCAGGTGTCAAATGAACATGTCAAGGGGACTGATTACATTCACCCAACTGAAAAAGAAGATTGTTTAGAACCAGTGAAGTCCCAAATTGTGGTAAGATTCGCAAAGGGTGCATATGAATACAAGTACATGTTATTTAATTAAAAATTAATATATTAATCCTGTTACTAACTATGATTACTATGATGAGCTTCTATTCCTGTTACTATGATTCCTGTCAATAATTATTGAAAACAACTTGTGTTGATGGACCAGGTATACACCGGGAACACGTCCCCATTGGCAGTTGAGGAAAGACCAAAACGGCAGGCAAAGTGCCCTGATAGATTCACATTTTCTGGGCCCAGAAAAGAGAAAAGGAGGAGGACACAAGAAAAAGGAAAGGAAGAAGATGCATGTCATGATGTAGGGCAGGCAATAGTAGGGCCATTTAGTCTAGATCCTTCGAAAATGCCTGATGCAGAATTGCTTAAAAAGACATCAGAATTCATGCATTCTGGATTACTGAAAAATCATACAAAGAGTAATGATAGGAAATACAAGATAGAATATGAGAAGCTAACTCTGACATGCATGATATCAGAATGGGGGGATGGAAGCATTGATAGGAAGTCACGGTACTACGCATTATACTTCCCAGGGAACTGGTTGAGTGACTTGGTAAGTACTTGACTATGATTACTTGACTATGATTAATAACGTACATATGAGGTATTATTACTTGACTATGATTAATAACGTGGATGAAATGCTGAATTTTTTTTGAAGCATGTGGAGATGGGGATGTACTTCTTAAGGATGAAAGCTGAGCAATACCAGTTGCACCAAAAGTTCACGACTGCAGACACGATGTTTATGCATTTGCTGAAACAGCATTACAATATACACATTAACGGTGCAACGACAGTGGCAGACACTGCTTTAAACAGGAATATAATGGGTATCATACTTGGGACACGTTTGGACTACGCGTTGTCATGGGCAGAAGCGGACATTGTGTACATGCCGCTGAATAATGGTAACCACTGGATCCTTCTGGTACTGGACATAAGTGCAAAATCAATACGGGTGTATGATTCTCTAGTTCGGCGAGGTGAAACAAACATCCACCTTCACCATTATCTACCGTGCATTCAAATGTTTTTACCTAAAGTGATGGATAAGCTAGGAGTGTACAATGAGCGAAGTGAGGGTCCGATGGGTGAAGAATTCTTGCAAATACAGATGGTGAATGAATGCCCACAACAAAAGGACAGGTACGTATTTAGCGATTACAGTAAATATGCAAGTGTTATAATGCCAAATGAGTGTGAAATCAGGAAGTAAGCATTTTGTTTTTTGGTGGACAGTGATAGTTGTGGAATGTTTGTCTTGAAGATGGCCGAGTATTTGATGATGGGTATAAATGTTGAGTTCGTGAGACCAGAAGATATGAATGCATACCGAATCAAGATGACTACTGAGCTGCTAGTACATTTCGGTATTATAAAGGCTTAAGATTGAAAAACTGATGAACAAAGATTGTTATGTTACGATTACAGTGCTGTAATGTTTTGTTTTGGAATGATGGATTTCTTTAGAACAATTTAAATGTGATTTTTTTGGAATGGTGGATGTTGTTAGAACAATTTAAATGTTAGAGGTTGGATGTCAAATTTATAAGTACCATGATTTTATGTTGTGTTAAATGAGGGCAGTAGTTACATTTTATGTTTATGATATTATGCTTAGAGTGCAAATCGCAGATTAATGCCCTATTGCAACAAGTGCACATTATGGCCTACATCAATTTCCATAATAATGCCTTGATGCAATTGCCCTGAAACATTTCAATACATGCTAGGCTTGAACAAACCCCACTTGTCGCGTGTTGCCTAGTAACTCCCAACACCAAAATTTGTATCAAATTTATTTCCGTTTGTTACTCATACATGACATACACATAAACATCATAACATCACATATGTGTAAGAGGCCCACTGATGATGTGAGTTTGAGATATAATTAATATCTTTAAGGCAGTACATTAACGAAATGATACTCAGTCTGAGAAAATTGAGACAATAACATAATTAATCACTAGTGTAAAAAACACTTTCTATATGGGTTAAAAAGCACTTTTTATGTCGGTTCCCGTAACGACATAGTAGCCAGCGATATAGAAAGTCGGGCACTTTTCGTGTCGGGTAGTCGTACCCCTTATAAATTGTTTTTTATAACGGTTACAAATTTAACCGTTATAGAATGTTTTCCGTGTCAGTCCACTAATATCCCATATAAAATCCTTTTTATATGGGTTAAATCATCAACCGTTATAGAAAGTCGAGTTTTCAAATAAAAAAATCACATTTACTATCACACACACACACATATATAAGTGATTTTATATTTTAAAATGTAATGTTTTTATAAAAAAAAGCTTTTCATTTTAGCTTTATATATACAATAACACATATTACACCAAAGTACTTAGGTTCAACAATAAAAGTACAAGTGAAATTCTCGAACCCCACTCATAGTCTTGATGTTAAGCTTGTGAATTTACAGAGATTCTACATTGTTTACAAAAGTTCAAAAAACATTGGGTCCTGTGAATACTAAATAGTATTTTCTATTTAGCCTCTACCGAGTATATTGCTGATCAGGCTATTATTGTTGATCAGGTCAATAAGTCTGCCGGGTGTTCCAACAACCACATCAACCCAACAGGAAAGTGCACTTTCCTGAGCAACGTATGAAACTCCTCCGTATATACAGACTGTGTTAAAATATGGAGCGGGTTGTTTGATCTCTGTCTCTACTTTCTTAGCCAACTCTCTCGTGGGTGCAAGGACCAAAACTCTAGGCAGTCTTCCTCTCCTTCATGAAAATAAAGAACAATTATTGAACTAATCAAATAATTGAAGTAAGAGTCCTATCGCCAAGAGGTGTTTGCCTGAGATGCTTGATTTTTCAGTAAGAGATAAGTTTTGTAACATCCATTTCAGCCAAAAACAGAAAGTGAAAAGCTACTTGTTATTCTATCAAATAAGCAGAACCAGCCTACCAAAGGAGCTGTAGATACCTTTGAGAAATTGTTGACTGTTCATCTTCTGTAATCTTTTTTATTATCGGGATGCCAAAGGCAAGAGTCTTCCCCGTCCCTGTTTTTGCTCTAACGATTATATCCCGACCTTCCAATGGAGGCACAATACAGCTCTCTACACAACCATGGAAAAATCATACAAATACATATTTAGTATTCACAGGACCCAATGATTTTTATGAAGGGTTGAGAAATGGAAAGTACTTTCTAAGTAATTCTAACTGCAAAGCAATATACTACAGTCTACAGAGTTTTGTGAAGGGTTGAGTTTTGATTGTTGAGTTGTCTACTTGTCTAATGATTAAGATTTAAAAGCATCCATTTAGCGTGTAACATTTGGATAGAAATAGCATGTTAAAAATAGATAATAACATGAAGAAAAAAAAGAATTGGTTCTGCATGTCACCCAAGTGTACATTCCATATATAAGGTTCAGTTTGTTCTCTAAAATTCTAAATTTAATACATACTAAACATATACTGCTGAATGTGTTTACTTTTATTGGTGATTATATAAACTAATATAAACTAATAGATGATTATATAAACTAATAGATTATATAAACTAATATTGGTGATTTTACTTTTATTAGTATTTATGGCCTCTTACTTGATAAAAAAAGGGTTTTAGATGACGATATCCTAAATAAATGAAGTACCTTTTTATTTTTTCTAATGGTTTTTAGAAGATCTCTGATCTTCATTATGACTATAGTTTAAGACCTCTACCAATCAAAATCTCTATATTTTAAGAAGACATTATTAATAATCCCTATATTTTATACGTGTCCAGAACTTATAAGCTTACACTTAACACAAAACCATACACTTCATTCCTAAAATCATCTTCGTTATTATTCCTCGAGCCTTAATCATCCCTCTTATTTCTTACTTGATACATTGCACACCATACTACTCATTTCAGGTAACCTTTCTACTCATCATTGGCTACATAGGTTTTTGAGAGCATATTAGAACATTGATATTCAATTTCTATGTGGCTGGTTTTTTACCTTAGAAAGAATCATGTTTGTCTTCTTAACCACTCCAAAAAAATGAACCTTTAGCCCATATCCAAAGCACACTCGATTCCATCTCCTGCAGTGAAAAATTACAAGTGTGTAAATTATTTTGTTTCTGAAAGAAAACAGATATAAAGCCCATGCAATATCCAAAAAGATCAAAAGAAAAGTCTCCCACTGCTGCCACAAGATGACAAGACCTGCAGCAGCAATTGTCACTACAGAAAGAGTTACCTGAGCTGTAGGTCTTCTCTTCCCAGAAAAGAATATTTACATTGGAATATTTACTCCTTTCAAGCTGGCCAATGCAAATGCCACCCTTGCATTATAGAACAAGGAAACTGGGAAAAGTTTATTTGCAGTATCTAATTTGAATTCTTTGGCTTTAGTGTATACCAGTACCCTACAGAAGTGAATCAGCAAGGTTGATGTTAATTGCTGCGAAGTGACCAGTGTCATTGACTGAGAATATTGCATAAGCACAACTTTGTTTATGAACACCATAGCAATTGAAGCAATCCCGTAGGAGACCGCAACCAGCAAACTGGTAGACTGCCTAGCTTCCATGGTAGCCTTACGAGCAGTGGGCTCCAGTCACCTCACCGATAGCTGACTGCGACAACGTTTTTACATACATCTTATAGGCAAGATAAAAAAAGCTTAAAACTAAACTTTTTCAATTTCATCTAAAATTTAGCAAAAAGACACACATAACAACAAGAAAGTACATAAGTAGAATCCAAGAAAATATTAAATTTACAGTATATACTACGCATATAATATAGAAGGAAATGTATTTTTACCCAGATGTGGCTTCAGAGGGGTTAATCTTAGGGGAGTTGTTCCAGGTGATTGATCACCAGCGGCTAATGATGTAAGGGAGGGTCATCCATGGAGACCGGCGGTGGAGGCAGAGCATTGTTCGTGTTCCTCTATCTTCGCGGGTCATCCATGGAGAGCGGCGGTGGCGGAGCGTCTTGTGCATCGTCAATCTTTGGAAATCATCCATGGAGTGGCGGTGGAGGAGCTTCTTGCGCGTTCGTCTGTCTCCGCAGATCATCCATGAAGAGCGGCGGCAGGGAATTTGCGTGCCTTTATCATCGCTCGATAGGGTTTTTCCCCGTAATGCTTTTGTCGCTGTAGCTTTGTTTAGGACAAATAGAACTTCTACTCATTTCAACGAGGGTTTAAAATGAACGGACATAGAAAGACTGTTTTTAAGAATTACAAAAAAAGCTCCGAATGCAGTTTCATGTTATGAAAATTATGAATGCTACCCCGTTTTTAACTTTTTATGTCAGTTTATTCTTGAACCGTTATGGAAACGATTTTATATATTTATTTACTGCCCTACAAAGAGACACCAATCTTTCATTATTCAAAAATATAGCCCCGCGTCTATATACCATTACGGTTCTTTATGAACCCATACGAAATGATAGTTATAAAATGTGTATTTTGCATTAGTGAATATATCATAACATTAACCCGTAATATTATATTTAAGGAAATAAATTAACAATGAATAACGAAGCGCCATTCATTCATAGCATTAAATTAACAATGAATAACAAAGTGACTGAATAAAAGTACGACAAAGTGCATTGCAATGAAAACGACAAATAATTAAAAACATGTTTTAACGCATATGTAGCGGAATAGGATTCCTACAAGTCTTTCTATTGTGTCCAACCATGAGGCA